AATGATGTTGGAAAGCGTTTATGATGTTCATTCAAAAAGGGTGAAAAAAGTACATGTAGTATACATATGTAGTATGTTCATGGAGCTGACTCACCGGCTTTGGGGTTTCTGAACACCAAGTTTAATTGATAGAAGAAAGCCGAGCTTTTATCGTGTGTGTGCTATTGTTATTTCGACCTTCCTGTTCTCCCTTCCTAAGTGAATCCTGACTAAAACACATACTGCATGTTGCAGGGTCTTAGCAGGAGCACAGCTGGGTGAGTGGAAGAGAGCTGAATAAGCCACTGCTTAGGAAGGTGTGGGCAGGGCGCAGAGAAACCGCGGCTGCTCCAGCACCCAGGCTAGTAGTAGTGGGGTGTCCGTACCTTCGGTCTGACAGGGGAGGGGAGGGAGCACTTACGGGAACCCAGAGCCGGAGAGAGCTGTGTGGAGAGGTGGCCTGACAGTAGCCGTGACCGGCAGTCAGTGGACATAGTCAGCGTTGACCCTGCAGGGAGAGAAAAAGGAGAACACATCTCCTGACTTCACCATCCTCCCATCTTCCGATCCTGCTGGAGTCCCCACTGGTGAGTCCAGGTGGTGGTGAGACCCTGAGGCGGTCACCAGGGCGCAGGGCCTCTGGGGTCGGGGCGGAGGAGGGGGAATCTAGAGGGTTGCAGGGAAGCTCCTTGTTAAAAAAATTTTTTTCTTTATTGATTTTATTTTATTATTATTATTTTTATCCTCACCTGAGGACATCTTTCCATTTTTTGTTCAGATAGAGTGGGAGGGAGGGAGAGGAAGAGATAGAGAGAGAGAGACATCGATGTGAAAGGGACACATCGAGTAGCTGCCACCCACAGGATCCAGCCAGGGCTGGGGACAAACCGCAACCGAGGTACGTGCCCTTAGCGGGAACCGAACCCGGGTCTCTCTGGACCGCAGGCCAATGCTCTAACCGCTGAGCCAAACTGGCCAGGGCTCTTTATTGATTTTAGAGAGAGGAAGGGAGAAGGAGAGAGAGATAGAAACATCGATGAGAGAGAACATCGATTGGCTGCCTCCTGCATGCCCCCCACTGGGATCGGGCCCACAACCTGGGCATGCGCCCTGACCAGGAATTGAACCAGTGACCTCTTGGTGCGTGGGTCAATGCTCAACTACTGAGCCACACTGGCTGGGCAGGGAAGCTCCTCTTATCCTTGGTCCAGATAAAAACAATCTCTGTCTCCAGCACAGAAGCAACACAGTGTCCCAGCAGCTACCATGTCATTGGGAGGGGATGCCAACCGGGCACTCTTCCTGCTGAAACCTGGCTGCCACCAGAGTTCTTCACAGAAGTCGGCAGGCGGAGGTGGGGTTATGAGGCCAGAATTGATCATCGTATCCACCTGCTTGCACCCCAAGGACACAGTCTCCTCATCCTTTGCCAGCACCTTGGTTGGACAGGGTTCTTTAGTTGGAGGGTGACTCAAACCTTTATTCCTATAGGGTCTGAGTCCTCGGTGGCCTTGACTTTGTTGGGTTGCTGAAGTTTTCTGTTACCCAGGACTCCTGAGCAGAGGACTGTTAAGAGGCCCCTGGGTTGCAGATCTAGTGCCGACCTCCGCTGTGCAGTAGCAACCTAACCTCTGGCACTTGGGATTAATCAACCCAGACATTACAGTGACCCCTTTCTCTGCCTGTTGGTTCAGTAGTATGAGAAATGAAAATGACCAGGGGACCTCTCAGCTTCCAAGTCATCTATACTATGACTGTCCCATGGTGGAAATTTTTCTCCCAAACTTCCGGAGTCCAAGGTTATGGAAATGGGTAGCAAAAATTATAGACTTTTGGTATAATAGTGAGAAGGCTGCTGCTACCCCAACCTCTTGGTTGCATGTAATTTTGATTATGGTTTTGGGTGAAAGACTCCTCTGCATCCTGTAGGGTGGCACCTTCACCTGGCGGGGGCAGGTTCTCAGCTCTGCGCTGAGCCTTCAGCTGGCCAGTCCAGCGTTCCATCAAGCCGGCTGCTTCTGGGTCATGGCACACGGTAAGACCAGTAAATGCTTTGGGCATGAGCTCATTTGTACATTTCCTTGGCTATAAAACATACGCCCTGGTTGGAGATGTTAAGTGGCATGCGTGGTGATGGATGAGGTGTTCTGTAGGGCCATGAATAGTGGTGCTGACAGAAGCAAAGTAGGCAGAGGTGAGTGCATACCTGAACGTGTCTGTTCTGGCAAAGATAAAGCACAGCCCTTCCGTGCTAGCAGGGCCCGATCAAATCAACCTACACCCGGGTGAGCTTGGTGCCCAGTCAGGGACTCAGCACTGGGCTGTAAGTAGGAAGGACACTCAGCACTGGCTACAGCCAGAATAGCCCCAGAGAGGGGAAGACTGTCACGGAGACAAAGCGTAGCTTCCGTCCCTGCCCCCGTGGTGGACAGAACAAGCCCTGGAGTGCCTGGGGAAGGAGGCTGACCATGGTCAACAGAGCTGTCATCGTGTCCACCCGATGACCATTCTTTCCCACACTTTATTGTGGATCATGTCATTACCTTTGACTGTTAAACTTCACCCCCTGGCCTTTACACCCCCAGGATACCATTATTCTCGCTGAGATCAGGGAATCCAGTTCCAGTGATCCTTCTGCCCCCCACCCCCGCTAGCGTCTCCAGCCTAAGAGGACAGCCGTCCGAGCAAGTCCAGAATGCTGGTGCCCTCGCCGATGCGTTGCTTAATGCTTTGGTAAAGGGAGTGTTTTGCTGACCCCCTTAAACTAAGTGGCTACAGGTGGGCTAAGCAGAGTGCATGTAACAAATCCACTCCAATGTTCCCATCTCTTTAAGATTTTACACTCCTTCTTCTATAGCAGTGATTCTCAACCTTCCTGATGCCGCGACCCTTTAATACAGTTCCTCATGTTGTGGTGACCCCTAGCCATCAAATTATTTTCATTGCTGCTTCATAACTGTAATTTTGCTACTGTTATGTCTTAGGCGACCCCTGTGAAAGAGTCGTCTGACCCCCCCCAAAGGGGTCGCGACTCACAGGTTGAGAACCTCTGATCCATAGTATGCCAGGAAAATGCTGGCATTTCAAGTTTATTAACTACAAGCTAATATTATGTTCAGGCTTTAATTAAGCAACGCAGCAGATTATTAATGCCTCTCCCAGGTGCTCGAGCCAATATATTAAACCCCAAATGCTGATGAACATCCATGGCCATGAGTTTGGCCAAGCTGAGCCTTACATTCCACCCTCCTGGGTCTATTTCCCACACACGTCCCGGTGGCTCCTGCCAAGGCAGTTTGGCAGGGCCTGTAACTCTTCTGTCTGGGTCTCCTCTGAGCGCGGGCCCTGTGCGGACTGTGCTGGGATCTAGCTCACCAACGGCCTGGGGCCAAGGAGGGGTGAGGCGGGAAGGGTTCCGCGGCTGAAGTCCTGGGAGCCCTACGGAGGATGTCTCCACAGACAAGACCGTTTCAGGAGAATTCGGAGATTCAGAGTTCTCAGGCTCATCCATGTCTGCCCAGATGTCCCCATCCCATCTCAGTGTCTCACCCATTCCCCACCGATGCCCTTATCTTAGTGTAAGAGACTTAGAGGGCCAAGCATTTGGCCAGCTCTGCAACTTGGCAACTCTCACAATGACATTCTGGGGCCAGTCCTCAGGGGTGAGCCCGCTCTGCCCATAGGGATCAGAGACTCCTTCAGGTGCCATCAAGATGTGCTGATTGCTCACCCACACTTCCCATCGGACACCGAAGACTCCCGTTCTCCTTTCCCCTGCACATGTTCTTGTGGCCACCAAAAGCCAGGTGACTCTGTGCCCTAGTGAAGAAGAGCCACAGCCATCCCACCTCCCAGCTCGCCACCCCAGCAGTGCAGGACGCGACACTTCATCCCATGCCACCCTCCGTGATGACGTGAGTCATGGTGATGCCTCCGCATGTGGTGGATCACTAGGTGCATCCCCCCTGCAAGGAGGCTTCCCCTGTACCCGTCGAATTTATGATCTATCCCATCTCAGTGTCCTGAGGCTGCTCCTGGAGCCAGTTCCTGTATTGCTGAGCAGTCAGGCAATAGATGACACGCTTCCATTGGGTAATTGGAGGAGAATTTCATAACAGAACTATTTCCAGAGGTGTGGCATCATGAAGGGAAACTTCAAGGGACAGCGAGGTAGCTGGCACTAACGGGCCGGGGGGGGCGCCACGGCAGACAGCTGTGTGCAGGGCCGGGCAGCCAGTGGTGGTTCTGTAGGGAGAGGAACTGAGGAGTAAGTACCCTGACCTCCTCCTTCCCCTTGCTTCCGCTGGGCCTCCCACTGTCCAAACCCAAAAGCCAGAAGGTAAGGGAGCCTGTTGAAGGCATCTGTGGATGTCTCTGTCCAGGAGGCTGGTGGACAAGGGTAGCGAGAGGAAGGACCTGGAGGGGCCAGCAGAAGAGACCCGGCATGCCACTCGGCTGATGAATATTAACAACGCCTGTGGGCAGCGCTCGTTTTCGCATTGAATCTGTTGGACAGTCCTATGAGGCGGCACGGCCACTACTTGAAGGCAGGAAGTCAAGCGCAGATAAGGGAAATCACTTGCTCCAAAGTCCCATGGCTCGTAAGTGGCAGAGGTGGGACTAGGACCTGGGCTCCAGAGCCAGGGCTCCTGCAGGCTGACAACTTGACCACAAGAGCAGCTCATACACGTGTGTGCCAAGATCAAATACATTTCAAAACCAGGTAGAGGGCCCGCCGGTGTGGCTCAGTGTTAAATGTCGTTCCAGGCACCAAGAGGTCGCCGGTTCGACTTCTGGTCAGGGCACATGCCCAGGTTGTGGGCCTGATCCCCAGTGGGGGACATGCAGAAGGCAGCCAGTCAATGTTCTCTTCATCGGTGTTCCTATCTCTCTCTCCCTCTCCCTTCCTTTATCTCTAAAAATCTGAACAAAAAATGGAAAAATGTCCTCGGGTGAGGACAAAAAAATAAATAAATAAATAAAAATCAATAAAGAAAAAAACAAAACAAAAACCAGGTAGAGCATGGCAATGGGTCCATGGTGGGCGCCTCTCTGTGGGCCTCACAGTGACCCATGCCAGAGTGAACTGCAGCCTCAAACCGTTGCCCAGCCTCTTCACCTGTGGGCTGTGAGGACTGAAGGGGGAAGTACAGTGTAAAATAAACAAAACAAAACAAAACAAATAAAATAAAATAAAAACCAGTATAATGTGTAGGCCGCTTATTTCACATGGCCCATAACCACATCAGGCACCACACTATATTATTTACATAGTACATTTTATGATTTATCTATAGCATATAAGTATCTATACCATAATTATAATAATGTACTTCTGGGACGTTGTCCCTGGGCCCCCTGAGGACCGGGATCTGCGTGCCAGGCACTCGGCTGTGCGCGCCCGAGCAGGCTGCGAGTCGGTGCCTGCGTGGAGTTGCACTCAGCCTTTCGTTCCTTCGGTCGTCAGTCGCCCAGCCGACATTCTCTGAGCACCACAGGTCCGTGCGGATGGGAGGGTAGGCACACAGGACGCTCGATGAGGGCGACTCGCGGTCTAATCTGTACACAACGTGCGGATAGTGAGGTGAGGAAAGAGTCGTGGGCTGAGGGAGACTTTTATTTTTTTATCCTCACCCGAGGACATTTTTGCATTTATCTTCAGACAGAGTGGGAGGGAGAGAGGAGGGAAGAAAGAGAGAGAAACATTGATGTGAGAGAGACACATTGAGTGGCTGCCATCCACACGACCCCAACCAGGGCGGGGACAAACTGCAACTGAGGTACGTGCCCTTAGTGGGAACCGAACCCGGGACTCTCTAACCACGAGCCAAACCGGCCAGGGCTTCTTTTTTTTTTTTTTCCCCATGTTTTTATTGATTTCAGAGAGAGAAAGGGAAAGGAGAAAAAGATAGAGACATCAATGAGAGAGAAACATCCACCGGCTGCCTCCTGCGCACCCCCTACCGGAGATCGAACCCACAACCCAGGCATGTGCTCTGACGGGGAATCGAACTGGCAACCTCCTGGTGCATGGGGTGATGCTCAACCCACTGAGCCACACGGTCCAGGCAGGAAAGTGCCATTCTTATGATTAATTTTATTAGAGAGGACATAAATCAGCAGGACCAGCCAAACGAAGAGGCGCATAGGGCAAGGTTGGGAGGGTCCTGAACGCACAGCTTCTGTGCCTTCTCCTTGTGGAATCATCACATGTCACCCTCCCGACACCACCAGGTTTCACCAATTAGAAAGCACCACTGAGTTTTGCTTCCAGAGTTTTTATTGGGGTTTCATTACATAGGCATGCTTGACTAAATTATTGGCTGGCGATTGAACTCCATCTCCAGGCTCCCTCTTCTCCCTAGACCTCACCAGGCCCAAAGCTCCAACCCTCTAATCACGTGGTTGGTTTTTCTGGCATGGCCAGCCTCAGACCCGAAACTTTTTAGGGGCCACCATGAATCACATTATTGGCATAAACTATCAAGGCCCACCATGGATATCATTCCTAATACTTGGGAAATTCCAAGGATTTAGCCTCCCTCCCAGGAACAAGGGGCAATGGTCAGTCAAATTCTTTCTAATATAACAATGTCATCAGTTTCCTCCAGAATGGCTTCTCAAATCCCTCTCCCTCCAGCTTTTGTTTTTGGTTAATCCTCACTGGAGGATATTTTTCCAGATTTCTTTTTTTGAGATAGAGTGGAAGGGAGGGAAGGGAAGAGAGAGAGAGAGAGGAAACAAAACAAAACAAAACAAAACAAAACAAAACATCAATGTGACCCAACAGGGGCCAGGGATCGACTCTGCAACCCAGGAACATGCCCTTGACAGGGAATCAAAGCCTAGCCAATGGTTCTTAAGCTTCCTAATGCCGCGACCCTTTGATACAGGTCCTCTAGTTGTGGTGACCCCCAACTATAAAATTATTTTCATTGCTACTTCATAACTGTAATTTTGCTTCTGTTATGTCTTAGGCGACCCCTGTGAAAGGGTGGTTTGACCCTCAAAGGGGTCGACCTTTCGGTCCACAGGCTGATGCTCTAACTGCTGAGCCAAACCAGCCAGGGCCCCCTCCAGCTGTTTATTTTGACAAGTTTCAAACCATTTAGATTCACCAATGGTGAATCTATTTGTGGCAATTTTACCACAATTTGTTCTCTCTCTCTCATCATGACATTTTACCCCTAAATACGTCAGCATGTATTTTGTATACACAAGGTCATTCTCCCATATAACCAAGGCACAGTGACTGCACTCAAATTTAGCATCGCTATACAGTAGTCCCCCCTTCCTTTTCTGTGGTCGCAGTTACTAGATGTCAACCAGCGTCCAAAAATATTAAATGGAAAATTCCAGAGACAAGTTTTAAATCACCAGCTGTAGCTGTGATAAAATCTCCAGTTGTCTTGGGCCAACCCACCCAGGATGTAAGTCATTCTTTCCAGTGTATCCACACTGGATCTGCTACCCGCCTATTAGTCACTCAGTAGCTGTCTCATTTGTCAGATGGGTTATCGGATAAAGAGAGGCCACATTAATATAGCTTTTATTACAGTATATTGGGCTTTTTTTTTTTTATCCCCACCCGAGGACATTTTTCCATTTTTTGTTCAGATAGAGTGGGAGGGAGAGAGAGGAAGAGAGAGAGAGAAACATCGATGTGAAAGGGACACACCAAGCGGCCGCCACCCGCACGACCAACCAGGGCCAGGGACAAACCGCAACTGAGGCACGTGCCCTTAGCGGGAACCGAACCCGGGTCTCTCCGGACCGCAGGCCAACGCTATAACCGCTAGGGCAGTATATTGGGCTTTTTAAAATCCTCACCCGAGGACATTTTTGCATTTATCTTCAGATAGAGCAGGAGGGAGAGAGGGAGGAAGAGACAGAGAGAAACATCGACGTGAGAGACACATCAAGTGGTTGCCACCCATATGACCCCAACCGGGGCTGGGGACAAACTGCAACCGAGGTATGTGCCCTTAGTGGGAACCGAACCCGGGCCTCTCTGGTCTGCAGGTTGACATTCTAACCACTGAGCCAAAACGGCCAGGGCTATTATAATATGTTGTTATCATTGTTTTATTATTAGTTATTATTGTTAATCTCTTACTGTGACTAATTTATAAATTAAACTTTTATCAGAGGTATAGAGGTATGTATGTATGTATGTATGGGACAAACATAGTATGTATAGGGTTCAATACTTTCCAAGGTTTCAGGCATCCACCTGCAGATAAGGGGGGCCACTGTCACACTAGGATCTAATATAGCTATCATATTCAAATTCTCCCAAGGGTAAAATGTCTTTATGACTGATTTTTTCCTCACCTTGGATCCAATCCAGGATCACACTGCATTTTTCATATTTCCTTTCATCTGACACAGTTCTTCAGTCTTTCCCTTTTCTTTCTTTTATATGGCATTCAAAAAAATGTAAAAACACCACCAATTTGTAATCTCACAATATGGAGGTCAGAAGTCTGAATTGGGCTAAAGTGAAACTGGGCTAAAATCAAGGGGGTGGGAGGTAGGGCTGCATTCCTTCTGTTTCCTTGCATGTCCCAGCTTCCAGAGGCCTCTTGTATTCCCCGGTTCACGGCTCCTTCCTCCAGCTTCGACGCTGGCAGCACATATCTTCAATCCGGCTAACTCAGTTTCCATCATGGCATCTCCTCCTTCCTCCTTCTTCTAGGGACCAGTGTGATGGTATCTGGCCCACCCAGATGATCCAGAATTATCTCCCATGACATTAACATTTATAAAGTGTCCAGGCCAGTCTCACTTTGGTTTGTCTGTTCATTTCCTCAAGATTAGATTCAGAGTAAACATTTTTGGCAGGGACAGACAGAAGAGATGCCTACCTCTGCAGTGTCCTTCTCTGTGCATCACATCGGGAGACACAAGGTGCTATTTGTCTTGTTAATAGTAATTAAACTTTGATTACGTTGTTAAGGTGGTGTTTGCCAGAACGACTTTATCTTTTCTTTTTTTTTTTAATCCTCACACCAGGACATTTTTAGGACATTTTTCCATTTTTTGTTCAGACAGAGTGGGAGGAAGAGAAGGAGAGAAACATTGACATGAAAGGGACACATCGAGTGGCTGCCTCCCACACGACCAACCAGGGACCAACTGCAACCAAGGTACACGCCCTTAGCGGGAATCAAACCCGGGTCTCTCTGGAGCGCAGGCCAACGCTCTAACCGCTGAGCCAGACGCCTTCATCTTTCGATAAACTTAGAAACCTGAGAATTATTGGCCCTGGCTCTCTAAGCAGCCAGGGGCTTAGTGGCACACCTGGCCTGGCTTCGACTTTTCTCATCCGGTTTGGGAACACCAGGGAGTCCTGACGACAGGAAACGGGAAGGGAGCGGCCAGGCTCCGCAGGGGTGTCCCAGTTCTCCCCAGGCCCCTGGTGATGGCTCCACCGCTACCTTCTGTCCGGCGCCGTGGAGCCCAGGGCGGAGAAGATCCCCGAGCGTGTGTCCCTCCCTGGACGCGCGCACTTCTGTGCGTGTGCAGGGAAGGAGGTACGCGCGCAAACGTGGGTCTTTGGGCCCGCACCCGCGTGTCCGCATGCACGTTCAGACCAGTGCAAGCCTTCCCGTGTCCTCTAGCCTTCCACTTTGGAGGCTCTGGGGTGGGTTACGTTGTGTACGCGCGTGTCAAGCGTTCCTGCGCTGAGCCGGTCATGGTTCTCAGTGCCCCCCCTTTCTGGGCCGGCTTGGTATGGTCTGTGGACCCTCCGATGGTGGTTGCACCCATACTTCCGGGAAATGTTTGCCTCACACGCCGGTGGGCTGCGCTCTCGGACATGGACGCGGCCGGCAGTCCGAGCAGCAGGCCCGCGGGCTCAGCCCCGGCTGTGATGACCCTGGCGCAGCTCCTGCAGCTGGTCCGGCGGGGCCGGCAGCTCCCGGGCCTCGAAAGGCTTCAGATCGCGGCGACCCACGACGAACCCACGGCGTCCCAGCTCCCGCGGAGACCCAAGCCTTGGGAGGCCGCGGGCTCGGCCGAGGCCCGCGCGCCGCAGCCCTAGCCCGGGCCGCAGCCCCGCCCACCCTCGCCGCCGACGGAAAGAGGAAGCACGTGCGGGAGCCTGGCTCGGCGGACCGGGACTGCGCCTTCCGCAATGGGGGAGCGGGCGCCGGCGTCTCGACACCCTTTGCGGCTGTGCCGGGGGCTTGACTGCCCCGCAGAAACTCGGACTGAAAACGGAGGACTGACCAGTTCCTCATCTTTTGTACTTTCGCCCTGACCTGTCTCAACTGGATTTAACCTTTCGGTGGCTTTGTGTCGGTATTTCCGTACCATGATACTCATGAAAAATGTTAAAAGGCCGTAAGTGTAATTGAAACAAATCTCATACCATCTGCCATGCATAGGTGTTTTCACTTTGAAAATGCAACTTGGGACACACTGGGGCCTGACCCACTGGGGACTTCTTTGAAAGGTTGAGACGTGTGTTTATCTCCTGCTTCGGCTTATTCTGATGTTTGTGCAAGTGAATTTGGGATTCACGTGGCATTTTGATTTTAGATAGCCATTCTCTAGTTAATAAAAGGTTTGATGATCAAACTTGGCCTCAGATTGACTTTTTAAAAAATACATTAAACAGCCCTGGCCGGTTTTGCCCAGCGGTTAAGGCGTCGTTCCCGCTAAGGGCGGGTACCTCAGTTGCAGTTTGGCCTCGGCCCTGGTTGGTCCTGGTTGGTCGTGTGGGTGGCAACCACTGATGTGTCCCTTTCCGGTTGATGTTGATGTTTCTGTCTCTTCCTCTCTCCCTCCCACTCTATCTGAACAAAATGAGTTTCCTAGGGTGAGGATAAAAAAAACCCAAAACATTTAATAAAATCCCAAACGCATTAAAAGAATTAGCCAATCAACCAAACCCTAGACTCCATGGTGGACCTGGCTACAGGCAGTGTTGGAACAGGCCACAGGGCCCTGGCCAGTTTGGCTCAGGGATGGGAGTGTTGGCCTGAGGACCAGAGTCCCGGGTTCCGTTCCCACTAGGAGCACATACCAAAAAATAAAACAGGCCACGGGATCCCTGCATCTACTCTTCCTTTGCTTTCCCCCAAAATACAGCTAGTCCCACTTGTTCAGGGAATGATAAACCATGGTACATGATATAGAAATTCATAATTTCTATAATCTCTTATATAGAATTCTAAATGAAAACCCATTCCTTTGCTTAATCCTTTTAACAACCATGTGTGGCAGGCAGGCTAGACTGTAATAGCCCCATTTTTTAGGAAAGAGTGGAGACATCATTTCCATATTTAGTGTAAGGCAGGTCTGAGATAGAAACCCTGGATTTCCACACAACAGCTTTTCCCATGACTTCTTGATACATCACTTTTAATCTGATTTCACAATGCTGTATGTTGGAAGAGTAACCTCTATTCCTGGCAGGTTAACTCCTGAGCCAACCACCCTAATTATCTCATAACCTGGCACATTTTAAGGCACTTATACTAACTTAATCTCACAGCTATGTTGGAGGGCTCCATGAGCCAAAACTGCAGCAAAGCTGACCTTAAGGGACTAGGCGACACAATTACTAAGCGTATTTTCAAGTCTTCACCTGGGCCTGGCACACCCTCACCAACTGCTTAGATGTCAGGCTGAGGCAACCAAGTAACAGAACAGAGGGAAGACTCAGGGGTGGACACTGACAACACAAGCCCCTTTTCAAGTGTAACATCCCTGGAGCCCTACCGTTCCAGTGCTGGGTCACCTACATCACCAGCAGGTGAGAGCAGTACTTTTGGAGGAGCCTGCAGTCTAGAATGTGCAAGGAAAGGGTCTAACTACACTCGCCCAAGGCCTAAAGGACGAAATAGTACCAATATCATCCACACCAAACCAAGAAAACGGCTCATTCTTAACTGATTTGGGGTTTTATATGCTTTTATTGATATTTTTAGAGAGATGAGAAGGGATAGAAAACATCAATCAGCTTGCCTCCTGCACATCCCCTACTGGGGATTAAGCCCACAATCTGGGCATGTGCCCCAATTGGGACTGAGAGGCCTGACTGGGGCCTCTCAGTCGATGGGACAACAATCTACTGAGCCACACCAGTACCACTGTTAATAGGAAACACCCATTGGCTTGAAGGGAAAAAGCCGTCTTGGTAAATGCTGGTCTTCCACAGGACATGGAACCAGATTAGCAAGGTCAGGACCTGGGTAACCAATCCTGACAGTGCAGGACTTTCTCACGTTAGGTGCATGGGTCCCTGAGAAGAGTCTATGAACACCCTGAACTTCCAAGTAAATATTGGAGTGTAAGCATCTTTTCTTGGGGAAATGGTCCTTCCCTTCTCAAAGGTCCAAGAATATGTTAAAATCCTGAGCTGGGGTAAGGAGGCCACCAGAAACATAGAGCCAGCTAAGCCCGAGAGCTTGCAAAGCTGTCACTGAAGTTGGAACATGGACTCACAACAGACAAGTGAGCATTCTGTGTTCTTTGAAATGTTATTTCAAGTTCTTTCCAAAACAAGCTTTAGGAACCCCCAGGTTCAAGTATGCCCCTGGGCTTGGTCCACTGCCATCTTGTATTCGTGCTTGGGTATCCATTCATTAATATTACACCCCTGGATAGCATGAGTCCTCTTGATTTCAGAGGAGGCAGCAGTGGCCAACACGGAGAACACACTGGACTTCTCCTTTGGAACTGGGCTGTGATGAGAAGTGCCTGCCAGGAACATCTCCATCTTTTCCCTGACCCTTCCCCTCCAGTTTCTGGAAATATAGCAAAAAATAATCTTCTTTGAAGATACTGGATGATTCCAAAAACAAAAACACATGCTTCTGATGCACTGTGCTTTCAGATATTCTGGAAGAAAAAACCCCACAATTTCATTAATACAAATTGACTGTGACTTGGCACCTGAGAGAAATGTAGTAAGGACAAAAAAGAGCAATTTCAGAGTTAAGGTTCCTTCAACAAAACATACTGTTTGGATCTTCAAATCTTTTCTAATTTACTTCTTTGGGGGAGAGGGGGGTGTTGTTAATCCTCACCTGAGAATATTTTTCCCATTGATTAGAGTGGAAGGAGGAAGTGGGGGGAGAGACATATCGATTGGCTGCCTCCCGCATGCCTGACAGTGGCCAGAGATAGAACCTGCAACCCAGGTATGTGCCCCTTGACCTGGAATCAAAACTGCACAGGCTGATGCTAATTTAGTTTTTAATATTATTCTCTCCCCACTTCCAGATTAATAACCACACCAATACAGAGATCCCCCCCCCCCCCCCGCCAATATTTCCTAGCCTGTAACTCTTGGAACACACAGTCCCAAGCCCTAATCAGGCATTCACCCTTCCAAGAATGTCTCTCCATCCATTAGACTTGTAAAAACCAGCCTCCTCTCGCACCCCCCTCCCCCATTGCCAAAGTTCCTCTCAAATACTGGTAAATGCAAAAAGAATTTTTAAGTGGCAAGGCATACAGCTCATAAAAAGTCAGCCCAAGGGCAGCCCTCAGCCTTGTCTTACCTGGATTCAGTTCAGCTGCCGGATGAGCTGATTGATGCGTTCCCCTCGATAGCCAGGTGAGCCCACCTCCTTGAGGAAGCCTACTCTATTCTTGCTGGCATGACGAGCCACTGAGAGATGGAAAGGGCACAAGAACCCTGAGATCACCTGGAAATTCTTCCCCGGGAAGGCAATTTCATGAATGAGGTCTTCCAAGCAAATGACACCAAACTTCCCTAAGAAACACAAGGGCAGTTTCCTTTATTCCACATTTCCCCAGCACAGACCGAGAGGCTCTCCTGTGCCAGAGCTGGGCACTCTGGCAGGTTCTTGGGGCCTCAAGAATATAAGCTAGATCCCAACCAGGACCACCAAAGACCCTTGCATTTTGCCAAAACTGACCCCTAAGATGCAATACTCACCCAGGTGCTCCTCAATCACTGTGTTGTCTGTCAAAGGGATGATTTTATTCTTAACTTTGGCTTGTCCACGTTTCAAGATGAGTTCCCGGACAGACTTCAGATTTGGAAATCTATGTGGGGCAGAAGAAAGTACAGACCTGGCTATCCCCCGGCACACTGCACTGTACTGGCCACTCAGTCCCGCAGCCTGGCTGAGGGGAGATTCTGACTATCCCTGCTCCTCACCACAGGGTCCCGCAATCACTCCGCAGCCGGGATGCTAGGGCATAGGGCATACACAGGGAAAAAGTGGGTAAAAAACCAGCATGGCCCTAAGTAGTTAGAAATTAAAATTTATGGATATAAATGTTACCAGGCAAAAACATTTATTTCCTAGGCAAAAATAAAATAAGTCTTGGCTTACAGCCTAGGACTTTGGCCTTACTGAAGAAGGTACAAGAGTTTGAAATTAAATCCAAGCCTTTGCTGAGTTTTAATGGTTGAAGAAATGTTCTTATACAAGCAACTGCTCCAAAAATTAGTTTCTGCTCTACCTAACTCAGCCATAGCCTGCAAAGGAACAAGCCCTCATGGTACTGTGCATGGCACATGACGAGCAGCAATGATATCTCCTATTCGACCTGCCCCATATTCCAAGGTTCTTACGGCTGGCCACTGATTTCTGGTGACTGTGGTCACAGCAAAATGTTCTTTCAACACAACAACAGGAGCCTTGAAGAACAGTACCCTGTGGCCCTGGCCGGTTGGGCTTAGTGGTTAGAGCGTCAGCCCAGTGAGCACCAGTGAGTCTCTGGTTCCATTCCGGTCAAGGGCATGTGCTTCGGCTGCCGTTCAGTCCCCAACCCTGGTCGGGTCGTGCAAGAGGCAACCAGTCAATGTGGCTCTATCACATCGATGTTTCTCTGTCTCTCTCTCCCTCCCTCCCTCCCTCCCACTCTACCTGATGATAAATAGAAAAATATCCTCACGTGAGGAATTAAAAAAAAAAAAAAAGAACAGTACCCCGTGAATCCCAACGTTCTCAACATGCTCAAATACAATCTAATATGAATCCACACACACACACAAAGCCTTACTTACCCCCAGGTCACATAAGGTTCGACTATCCGCAGTGTTTTTATGGTTTGGGGGGTCACTTTGACAAAGACACCACTGAAAATCTTCTTCAGGCGAAGCCTTGCGATGGTCCTCTGTACCACTGAACTCACTCCTTTGATCCTGAAATGAACAGCAGAGGAAGTCAGGCTCTGTTCCCTTTATATCAGCCCAGCAAGTACCCATGAGCTGTGTGCCACCACTGCCCCCCCCCCCCTGAGTTAGACAGACTGTGCCTTAGGGCTCAGCAGTCCAGGAGGCAGCTACGTCAGTAGACCTTCCACATAACACGGAGTGATGCCTGCGGCGCCGAGAACAGAGGTGGTCCCTGATTTGTGGGGTGTCTGTGTGGGGTGTAGGGCTCTGTATACCAAGCTGAGGGAGCTGGACTTGCTTCTGTGGGCAGAAAAGCTATGGAAACCATTTAAGAAGACAAGATCAGCTTTATTTTTGGGTACAGAGGACAGACCTGAGAATGTGACACCAGAGGCAGGAAACTAAGTTAGGAAGCTAAGGTGACAGTCCAGGAAGGAGACTACTGACGATGGTAGTAGGGCTCATAAACACTTGAAACCCACCGGTTTCTGGTTTGGGTGACTGGTTAGGGGAACCAGGAAGAGGCAGAATTCTATGTGCAGGTAGGGATGGGTAAGGAAAATACCACCAGATGTGCAAAAGCTTTTATTTCACTCGCTCTAGCACTACGCTTCATCCTTGGTTCCGTTCCTAGAAAGATACCTTGATTCCCCCACTTCAGGACTTTTTGCATTTAGGTTGTAACTTTCCCTAACCCTGGTGAACTCCTTAATGTTTGCAGGCCTCAGCTTCAAATTCCTGATTTAGAAGATTGTCCTCAACAAGCACACACAGTGTCCGCCCATAATCCAGCACCTGACCCTCATAGCACTTACTGTCTTTCAAAATTATTTTTTCTGCCCTGGCCAGTTTGGCTCAGCGATTGGAGCATTGGCCTGCGGACCAGAGAGTCCTGGGTTTGGTTCCCGCTAGGGGCATGTACCGAAAAACTTCTCCCTTTATTGATTTTGAGGGGGGGGGGGGAGAAAGAGAAACATTGATGAGCGAGAACATCAATTGGTCGCCTCCTGCATGCCCCACACTGGGGATCGGGCCCACAACCTCGGCGTGTGCCCTCACCAGGAATCAAACCAGTGACCTCTTGGTGCATGGGTCGATGCTCAACCACTGAGCCACACCAGCCAGGTGCACTTACTATCTTTTCATGTCTATTTGCCTAAGATCAATTTCGTTAACCTCGAAGACAAAACATTTGCTGTGCTCAACTCTGACTTCCTAGCAAAACTTGCCTTAAGGCCTATTATCTCATCTCCCTAGAAAGGGGTCTAAAGCTGAATCAACAGTTTGGCCCAGCCTCATGTAATTTGGCAAGTTGCTTACCTTTGGATGCGTACAACAAAGGCCAAGGAATGTTCATCTGGCACTTCCAAACCGTGAGGCTTCACTTTTAGCCGTCTGAGGCGCACCTTGTCACGTTGTTGCCGCCAGGCATCGTGTAGGAACCATTCCAGTCGCTTAAACTTGAGATCTTTGCCTTTTCTCTGCTACAGAGAAGAAAGAAGACCATCATCACCATGCTGTGTCTCCAGTCGTTTGTACTTCCAAAAATGTACTGCATTAGTCAGGGCTTATTCCCCTATGTTCTGCAAAGGGGAGCAAATCACCTCTTTTATTCATATATATATGTATATATGTGTGTGTATGTATGTATATATATATGTGTGTGTATATATATATATATATAGTGAGATACACAAGTAAAAGTGTAGTTGAAAAACGTGGGAACTACTTGGAAAAGTCCCTGATAAATTCATTCACATGCTGTTAGCCAATGTTTACCAACAAGCGTTTATGGAACCTAACATTTAAGCATCATAAAGTACAAAACAAGCATGAGTCTCTTTTGTTCTTTACCTCCAAAATATGTGTTTACCCCCAAACGTTTAGCAAATAGCAAAGTTGGCATAGTAAAGAAAACACATTTTTCTTCCAGGTACACAAGCACGTCTGGTCTCTAAAATCACCTGGAATGAACCCAGATGGTATAAGCTGAGTGAAGACATAAACCACAACCTGGTACAATCAAACCGATAGGGGCTAGGGGAATGGGGAGGGATACCAAATGTAGATGAAAATTACCAGATACAAATTCTAATTCCACCGTCCTGGTTCCCCACCATTACCTCCTTCTTTTCCAAAAGTGCCTGCTTTGCCTGGGTGGCTTTGAGGGCCTGATAAGCCTTCCTCTTTTTCAGGAGATTTTCTGGAACCAAAGGGATCTTTTTTCTTTGCCTGATACAGAAAATTGAGATCAGGGACAATATTTAGGAACTAATCTTCAATGGGTTTCCAAACCATTTCCTGGGCTTGGGGAACCATTACTGTCTCCAAAATCCTAAGAACTGAGACTCCCCTGAAACCCGTGGTTTCTGACTCCAGTCCTCAAAATGGGCCTCAACGATTCCCTCCCCCGGAAGCCATAAAAAAGTCATGAACCCTTTGGCCGCTGTTGCTCGTAATGTCAACTCAGCTTTTAACGTTACAGCCTTTTATAGACACTAGCAGCGATGGCATCGTAGTAAAACCCTGTGGGGTTGGGGCGCGTGCAGATCATCTGCATCAGGGAACACCGAAGTCAGGCTGGGTGAACCCAACTCCAACACTCTCCAGCCGGCGGCCTGAAAGTCAATGCTCACCCCTCCATGTAACCCGAAATTGACCACGGCCCCCTCCGCCCGCCGGCCATCCCGAACCCTACGGCTCCTCACTCTTCACACCCCCATCCTCTGTCATCTGGAGCCTTTTCTATTCTCTTCCTTCAGTCTACAAGTATCCTTATTTTCCGCCAACCCGTGGATGGCACCGGATGCTCTAGGAACCACTCAGAGGTTCAAAGTCGCAAATACTCACTCTTCCTCCGCCATCTTTCCAACGCTGCGGCTACTGCTCAGGCGCAGTCCTACCACGTGGGAGAGAGAGGAACCGCTCCACGTTCACTCGACCGTGGAGACGTGTCCTCCAGCTCACCACACGGGTAGCGAGCGTCCTCTTAGAAGCCGGGAACCACTGAGGTCTTGCTAACCCCGATTCCAGCCGGAAGTCGCATAAAGCTTTATTTACACCGCTTCCAAGGGTTTTAGAACCCTGTGAGCTTCAAAACCCAGCCCTTTTCATTTAAGCTATATTCTCATAGGGTTGGGCTATAAACAATGAAACTCTTCCCACAATGCACCTACGACTTCCGGTGGGGGCGGGCGCCGCGCCTCCGGCTTCCGCCCGACTGCGGAAGGGAAGACGGGCAGTTTCGCGATACCTGTTTAGCTGCTTGGGGAGAGAGCCGGGCGCTGTGGCTTCGGCTCTCACGTGTGAGCAGAGGTGTGGACCACGTAGGATGGTAAACATGCGGCTCTGATTCCGTCTGCCCAGCCCTATCAGTGGGCCCTCGACTGTACCGAGGTTACCTTTACCCATAAAGTAAGTGTAATAATGGACCTTGCCTAATAGGCTTAGGAGGATTAGATGAGCTACTCCATGTAAAGCGCTTGGCACAGAGTGACGTAAGCAGTCAATTATTAGTGTGGGACCGAAAACTAGAAATTTCTCATCGGAGAGCATTCCCTCTTAGCATCTGGAATGGGCTGCCCTCTCTCCTGGCCTTAATAAAGCAATGGAAAATCGCGTCCCGTCTGTTCTGAAAACCTTCAGAGAACGTCGCGTCTCAAGCATTAATGCGCATAGGAGCCCCCTGAGGATCTGGTTAAAATGCAGATTTTTATGCAGGACGGGGAGGGGGCTTAGGGTTGATAGTGGCATTTTTAATGCTCCAAAGCGATGCGGATGCTTCCGATGTAGGGACTAAACTGGGCTAGCAAGGCTCTACCTTAGGCTCTTTCTCTGAATTCCTTCAGCATAATTTATTATTATTATTACTATTATTTTTAATCCTCACCCGAGGACATTTTTTGATATTTTGTTCAGATAGAGTGGGAGGGAGAGAGAGAGAGAGAGAAACATTGATGTGAAAGGGACACATCGAGTGGCTGCCACCCGCACGACCAACCAGGGCCGGGGACAAACTGCAACGAGGTACATGCCCTTAGCGGGAACCGAACCCGGGTCTCTCCGGACCGCAGGCGGACGCTCTAACCACTGAGCCAAACCGGCCAGGGCTTGCCTTTTTTTTTTTTTTTTTTTTTTACATTTCTTTCCCATGATACTAGGAGGGCAGGGACCATGCTGACCTTGTTCATCTCTGATCCAAAGGGTCTAGTACAGGTTTCCCCTCCCTCCCTTCCTTCCTCCCTCCCTCCCTCTCTCCCTTCTTCCTTCCTCCCTCCCTTCCTTCCTTCCTTCCTTCCTTCCTTCCTTTTCCTTCCTTCCTTCCTTCCTTCCTCTCTCTCTCTCCCCCTCCCTCCCTCCCTTTCTTTTTCATTTTAGAACAGTTTCTTAATCTTGGCACTATTGGCATTTTGAGCCAGGTAATTCTGTTATGGGGGCTGTGCACTGTAGGATGTTTAGCAGCATCCCAAACCTCTACCTGCTATAAGCCAGTAGCACCCTCACACCAGTTGTGACAAAAATGTCTCCAGGCATCACCAAGTGTCTAGCACAGTATATTTGAAAGAGGCGGGAGCCCTGGCCGGTTTGGTTCAGCGGTTAGAGCGTCGGCCTGCGGTCTAGAGAGACCCAGGTTCGGTTCCCGCTAAGGGCCCATACCTTGGTTGCAGTTTGTGTCCTGCCCTGGTTGGGTTGTGCGGGTTCGATGTGTACCTTTCACATCAATGTTTCTCTCCCCCCACCCACTCTGAACAAAAAAATGGGAAAATGTCCTTGGGTGAGGATAAAAAAAAAAAGGGGTGGGAGAGAATAATAGTAGAGAACTAGACATAACGCTGTACTGGCCATAATTATAAGAAACCTTAACACATTTTTTTTTCTTTATTGATTTTAGAGAGAGGAAGGGATAGGGAGAGAGAGAGAGAAGCATCGATGAGAGAGAACATCGATTGGCTGCCTCCTGCATGCCCCCCACTGGGGATCAGCCCCACAAGCTGGGCATGTGTGCTGACCGGGAATCGAACTGGCAACCTCTTAGTGAAAGGGTTGATTCTCAACCACTGAGCCACACCAGCTGGGCAATTATAAGAAATCTTAATCATCCTTTGCAATGTTAAGCAATGGCTGCTTTGTTCTGATTAAAGAAAAGCGTACTCTGACCTGGCTGGGAGGTGTGCACCTTGGGAGCTGACCTCAGGAATGCTGTCCATTCTCCCAATCTGAGGACAAGGGGGACGACCTGACATCATGGAAAAATGAACAGTCTGATTATCAGAACACTGAACCGGTGACTGACTCGCTGGCGACTGGCCCCTGTAACCCCCAGCCCACATACCTCCCCCCTTGCCTGTAACCATGTTACCCATTTTCCCCCCTTTTTGCCTAACTGCCTTGCCTTGTCTCACGAAGTCATTGTTTCTCTACCCTTTAAAAGCAAGTGGCAGGTGAAGGTGGGCAGAGCAGACTTTACGGGCTGACCCACTGCTCTCCCACACTGCCAGCATTATTGCCAGCTTAATTGGCTTAAGTAGTGACAGGCAGCCAGGACTCGTTTGTTGTGCAATTTCATATTTATTCTAAGGGTCTAGGGCAATGTCATTATTTGACAGTCGGCACTTACAGGGGTCACCACAGCCTTTATCCTGTACTGTTTAGCTTGTAGTTCCCCTGATCAGATTGGGTGCTCTGAAGGCAGGGAACTTGTCTCATACTTCTCTGAATCTTCTATAGCACCTATCTCAACAATGGACACCTACGGGCTTGTTAACTGAATTCAGGGCATCATATTGGTATGTGTTATGTAACTAGTCCAACCACAAAGATAGTGCCATGCACAGAGCTCACTACCTGATGAATAAATATCAAAGTACAGTACGGTCTTCAGGGTCGCAGACTGTGGTGTGAGGCTCATTCTCACCTCACTACGTGTCTCACTTTGTAACGAGCCAAAAACAAGGGCCACCAAAGTATAAGACATCCATTAGATAGTGATCAAGGAACAAAAGTCAGTATTTTGTAACTTCCCCTGTCTAGAGATAAAAGGTAGGTTCTGTGGTACTGACATGCGCAGAGTATTTCGGGGGTATCAACACTGGCTGAAAGACCTCGGAGGCCAGGATCGGGAAGGTTTGCCAGCGCCAGCAGATGGTGCTAGGAGAGCGCGTATTCGTGCCAAAGCCGGTGCTCCACCAGGCTGATCCGAGAAAAAAGGCTGGAGTCCTCTTCAACCAAAAACTGTTCACTAACTGAACATGTTTACTGAGCTTCGACCATGTGCTCTAACACTAGGTGAGATACAGGGTTTTTTTTTTTTTTTTCCACAGTGAGGTTACTGAATGAGAACATGGCATGGCCATTTACAGCCTCAAGAATATTATTCTTTTTAGCTTGTCCTCAGAGGCCTCTGTTCTCTCTCTCTCTTTTTAAATTCTGATCCGAGGATATTTTAAAATTTATCTTCAGATAGGGCAAGAGGGAAGGAGAGAGAGAGAGAGAGAAACATCAGTGTGACAGAGACACATTGATTGGTTGCCACCTGTACAACCCTGGTTGGGGCTGGGGATGAACCGCAGATGAGGTACGTGCCCTTGGCCGGAATCGAACCCGGGAGTCTTTGGTACATGGGCCAGTGCTCTAACCGCTGAGTCAAGCTGGCCAGGGCCTCTGCTCTCTTTTTGCTTGACCACCTCAATTGTCCATCATAAGGGAATGAGTAAATAAATTATGGCCCGGGCGGTGTGGCTCAGTGGTTGAGCGTCAACCCATGCACCAAGAGGTCGCCAGTTCAATTCCCGGTCAGGACACATGCCCAGGTTGTGGGCCCAATTTCCAGTGTGGGGCATGCAGGAGGCGGCCAATTGATGTTCTCTCTCATCGATGTTTCCCTCTCTCTCGCCCTTCCCTTTTCTCTAAAATCAATAAAGAAAAAAAATTATGGAAGGCCCTGGCCAGGTAGAGTGTTATGATATGTGAAGGTATGGGTTCAAATCCCCAGTCAGGGCACATACAACACAGGAATCAACCAATGAATACATACATAACTGGAACAACAAATCGATATTTCTCTTCCTCTCTAATATCAATAAATTTAAAAATAAACAAATTAAGGAAGACTGTGCACTTATATGCAGTGAGGTAGGTCTTCAAGTTCTGAAATCATAGTGGTAGGTGTTTCTCATTTTTGGCCTGCTGACATCCATTCCCATTTCCTAACAGTGTCCCGTTTCTCTTGTGAACTGTTCTCTCCCTCATCATGTACATTCTGTGCTTCTCAAGCCTGGTGTTTTTTTCAAACTTCCCTTCAGTCCTTACCCTTCCCATAAAACTCCTTTATGCTACCTAACCAGATTGGTTTCTGTTGCTTGCAAACAAAGAATTCTGACTATAATATTCTAAGACATTTTGAAAATGTCTATATTGTATTTGAAAAAGCAAGATACAGAATAGGGTGTAAGAGAGTGGTTTTAGTTTTTTTGTTTTTTGACTATGTACTTTAAAAATTGATATTTTAGAGAGAGGGGAAGGGAGAGAGATAGGAACATTGATATGAAAGAGAAACATTGATTGGCTACCTCCTGCACGCCCCCTACTGAGGATCGAGCCTTCAACCTGAGAATGTGCCCTGACTGGAATCGAACTGGGACCTCTCAGTCCATGGGACAGCACTCAATCCACTGAGCCACTGGCTGGCCTAGGTGTATTTGTGTGTAATAATTTTGGAAGGCTATACAAGAAAGCGTAGATGGGTGTTATGTTTGGAAAATGGGAGTGGGGCCTGGAATGGGAGCAAGACTTACATTTTGTGGTGTGCCCTTTTTTATTTTTTTTTATCACATATTTATTAATTTAATAAAAAGCTCTCTAGGTCATTAGGTTCTTGTGATTTGCCTGTTTTAGAAACTTCTTGACTATATGTTTTTAAGACTCCTTTCAGGACCAACATTTTGTGATTCTCTGAATCGACCCCATGATCCTTTTGCTAACACATCCCACAAAAAGTTATGTCAGTGTTCTCTGCACTTTGGGATTATTTGGAATCCTACTCGCTTTCACTTCGACATTTGAGCAATGCCTTCTCAGTAAGGCAAAACCACCACAGCCAACACACTTGAAAGGGGGCTCCGTCCGTAGTTTCCG